TGTGGAGTATTGTTTTTTAATCAATCTAGATGTGTTGATGATGTAAAATATTTACATGTATATCATTGTACCTTTTTTAAAGGGTCTTGCTAACCAAGTACCCTAAGGGAATTGTTTTAAAGAACCCACAAAAAGAAACTATGTCTTGAAAATACAAGTCCAACTCATGTTAAAGTCATAACCGTATAATTTCCAATGCAAAAATTGCTACTTTTAGATGCTTAAACAATGCCCTTAGGGCACTTGTTAGCATTTTCCTTTTTTAAACTAGTTTTCTAAAATGATTGCACAAGTATACCACTGAAGCTTCGCCACAACTACTTTGGTCAAATCTTTTGTTCTTCGGCAAGAACAGTGACACAGTTTTGTGGCAACGAATTTCTTATAACCTCGTTTCTTGAATCCTCTTTATCTTCTAACTATAGCAAACAATGGTTGAAATCATTACCAAAACTAAGGCAGCTACCCGATTTTAGACGTTGAAATGCATCGTCGTCAGAACCTCTCCACCGCGGCGCAACACACCAACCTCCAATCCTTTCTCACCACCACCTATTGGTGCGATCAAATCACATGAACATCGATGTGTCAAAGAGGTTAACGATTCCACGCAAAATTGCACCATATGTTGTTTGTATCAACTAATTCAGCCATAATCACAAATTTTGAGCAAAAAAAAAAAATTAACTATTGCCTAGGGTGGAAAACCTATTGATCTGCCCGATTGTCATCACACCCCACGCGCCTTTACAAAACATACAACATGAGTGCGCTCTACTTGAAGTGACCGAGAAGTTTTTCATGATAACACCTTGAAACACCGCAAACGTCATAGTTTCACTTGCCATGGAGATCACCGTCATAAACACAAAAATAAAGAGAAAAGTGAAGCTAGCATTACCTTATGTTTATGTTTTGATTATGTTCATTAGGACTCTTAGATGTTGTTTATATTTTGTCTAGGTAATATAGCATAGAATCATGTTAAAGCACCTAGAAATCCATGCCCCATTGTGTCGTATGTGTTCTTAGTGTCTTGCATACCTTTCTTGAAGATAAAAGCTTCATTCCAGGCTTTTGAATCGATTCAAATAATCATGAATCATATCACCAGAAGTCTCTGACTTGGGGTGAATCGTTTCATGAAGTTTTGAATTTTATCACCTCTGAATCGTATCATGGAAACTTTCTGGACCTGTGTTGAATCGATTCAAAATAGTTTGAATCGTTTCAATCTTCATCCTGGGCTTCCTGAATCAATTCAGATATAGTCTGATGGTATCAATCATCATACCATCTTCATAGTTCATCTGGCTTGTCTTTTAGCTGTCTAAATCGATTCATACATTTAGTGAATCGATTCACTATGTTGTTTTTTTGTCAAAATTTTGCACTTGCCACCCTTTTTCTATATATAGTCACTTCCTCATAACACCCAATTCATTGAATTATTTGCATCTATTCTCTCTAGAGTGTCAAAACCTCGTTGTTTATACATTCTTCAAGATTAAACACTTTTTCTTAGAATCACTTTGATCTTTCAGTCATAGATTGCAAGAGTGCTATAGGGATTGTAAGTTGGTTCATTCAGGAAATTGATTGGGTAATAAAGGTTCTAAAGTGAAGTAAAAATCTCATCCCACCTTGAAGGGTATTGGGGTTTCTAATTACCGGACGGAGCATCAAGGAGTTTGGGTGAAGAACTTCAAGGGTTGCACGGGTTAATTGAAGATTTTAAGACATCAAGAAGTAGCAATTTCAAAGGTTTATTTGAAGATTAGGGGAGTGATTCCATAGGAATTGAAGAACTAGGGTAGTTTCAAGGAATTCTAGTAATCACATTGTAATCAAACATTATCATTCTATTGGAAGTCCTCGGTGGAGATGTTTTCCATGAAAAAGAGTAGACTTGGCCCAAAGGAGGACGAAAGGGCAAACTACTATAAATCTCGGTGTCTTTTCTCTTCTTTAATTTGATTAATTGTGTATTTGATCGCTTGATAAATTGCTAGTGTAGAGATTGAGTGTGATCTAGGTTTAAACCATTAAACTTGAATTTGTTCTTTGAATTGGCTTTATCTTACTTTACTTTGGATCACACTTAGTTTCAATCTATTGTCAATTTTCTCAAACTTTTACACAATTGTGTTCATTAGTATAATTGATTAATTGTTCTTAGGTTTGGTTTGAGATTGTACTTGTTTTGTAAATTGTGTGAATTTTATTATAATAGATTGTGTTTAAAATTACTTAGAATATATCATTTCCAAGTGAATCTTATCATTTGTGCATAGTCTTAATATGTTTGTCATAGCCATTGAACCTTGCATAAATCCAATAAGTCGCAAATCATTTTCTTCAAATCGCTTTCGCTGCAAACTCGATAAATTTTTTAAATGTTATTCACCTCTTAGAGCATATTATAACACCCTAAACTCTAAAAGCGATAACACACACAAATGATACAATCATATAAAGAATTTAGATGCTACTTCTCCATAATTCACAAACATGCATAATAAAAAAATGTCCAAATATCGCAGCGGAATAATCATCTCAACAATTTCATCAATAACAAAATAAATCTCCAAGTACCAATGTCAACATACTACACATATCATCATCAATACATAGTTTAAAAATCCTCAAACAGTCATAATTAAGGTAAACATCAAAGACTCACACCTAATCAGAGTCCTAAAGACTAAGACACCAAAAGCAGTAGACGAGGTAGTTCCAAGCTATCCTCAAGCAACTCACCAAAGCAAAGCAAACTACTCCTACACACAGTCTACCCGTTCATAAGAATAAGGCAGACGATCAATCAAACGACCACTGGGGGTTAGTCCACAATTCATAATCAAGTATAATCGAAATGAAAGTAAACGACCCAATTAAATTCAAATGATTAAGCAACTCAACAATATCAATATTCATCGATTATACGAGTATAAAAATCTACAAGCACACTTTCACATCACCATATATTCACCACCTTCACCAAGCATACAATTCACTAATGTTTCACCAATGCAAACATTCACCAAGCACATAATCAAGTATGAAAATTGTCAAGTTATGCAATGCACCTAAACACGACTCTATATGCATGCGGGTACCAGTCGTCACCAAGGTCGACACCTCAAGATACATTTGTATCATTAATCATCGCCAATATGAATTCAAAGCATTCGGTCGTCGCCAATATGAATACAAAGTATCCGTCGTCGCCAATATGGATATAAACATTCGGCTCAACATTTATGAATGCATTAAACCTGTGACTCGACAATGCATACGTTAAACAACAGTCGTCAACAATCAACATCAACATTTTTCAATACATGCATACACCTTTAAAGTCGTCGCCAATTTGCATGTAAGAATTCGTCCACCATTAATGAATCATCATCATTAAAATCATCAACAACTCATCAACAATTATTATCAAAAAATATTTATCACCTCAAGGAATAACTTCTGTCTCATAAAACATAATTCACATAAAAGGCGTCATATAACCACATCATAATAATCAACGTATCGAACACCCAATAACCATTGTTTCATTCTCTTTTCATCCGATTATCATGTTTTTATAACCAATTGCAAGTTATCTGATAAAAAAAACTCATTCCTATAAAGTTCGTCTATGTTTATGAAAATTAACATTTTCCGATTGATTCTCCAAAATCAAAGTAATCAAGTTCAATCGCCTTATCCAAGTATATACACAATTCACATATGAGTGCAATAGCATATACATATACGTATCATATGTCAATTTCGATTAATTCCAAAATTCACCTAAGTTCGTCTATTTTTATCACAAACACCGATTTTGACTTTTCATCCAAATCATCGTCTCAAGCATATAAATCCTCAAATCAATCATAAATTATCATGTCTTCATGAATATAAGCCATTTGCAAACTAACTAGTCACATCTCAAAGTTTCACCAAAGTTCGTCTATGAAAATCCTAAGTTTTCGTCTATTTGTCATTTCACCAAAAATCAAGTTTCATGCTCTCATAGTCCTATATTAACCCTACATGCTTCATCTAAGTTCATCATTATAATAAATAAGTCAAAACATCATCATTGTTCTTAAGAAAATTCATTGTACGATTATCTCAAAATAAGTTCGTCTCTAAGTTCAAGTTTTTTCTCATTTTATAAAAACCAAAGTAAGTATAAGCATATTATGTTCCATGCAAGAATATTAATGAAAACAGCAAAAGAACACCCTTAAAAGATCACCTAGGGACCATATGTGTCTCCCCTCAAGCACTCAAACGTAAAACAACATTGGTTGTTGTTTCTGTCTGGGCACCTAGCGCTTGCTCTTTGTAACTGGGCGCCTAGCGCTCCAGTGCAAGCGCCAGCGCTGCGAAAAGGGCCGTTTGGTGTGTTTTTACCTCGGATTTTCGTCAAAATGCCCCAAAAAGTGCTTATTTTGATTCTCCCATTTCCCAAACCATTAAAGTCATGTCCCAAGGCTCAAACGCATCAAAAAGCTCTTCTCACAACCCTCAAATTAGCTTATGAAACAATTCACTTAGTTTTCAAATAAAACACCAAGTTATAACAAAAACACCTTTATTTATCCAAACACAACAACAACAACAACAACAACAACAACAACAACAACAACTCAAAATTATCATCACCCAATTCATGAATTATCATCACCAACAACATTCAACAACATTCATAGCATGTGTTCATGAATTCATCAACAATCAACAAAACCAACTTCATTTTAACCAATTTAAGCAATAATCATCAAAACAACTTATCAACAACAACAACTATGAGTTTAAGCACATAACACATCTATTTCATGAAGTTTATCATACCCATTAAATTCACATGAATTAAGAGCACGACATTCATCATCAAAATTCACAAAAGTCACAATTAACATAAAAGCACTTAAATCCATAATTGAAAATAAGAGATTATAGCTTAATTATGAAAAGGAAACCATCCCCCTTACCTCTAGTCTTCAAGAATCCTAACTTTGGCTTCACTTTAGCTCCTAGCTCTTCAACCCCAAGCTTTGTCTCTGTAGCTTCCTCTTCTCTTCTCTTGATCCACTTTCTCTCTTTATCTCTCCTAAAATATTTTGTGAAGTGAATGAAATGAGTAGAAAACCTAGTTTTCCTCTTAGTGTTATGTTTTAATAGCCACCTCTAATTGGGCTTGGTTTCTAGTTGTCATAATGGGTTTAACATTCTTATCAATTAATCCTCAAAAGTTACTACTCACTTAAACAGTCAAAATACTGAATAACAACTGTCTCTAAATAATTACCTCAACTCACTAGTAACTTAGTAAAAATAATCATTCTCACCAAAATCCAAAAAATAACCTTCTTAATAAAAACAACTATTTTACCCTTGCTCACCAACTGACTAAAACACCCTTGAGTCTAAAAATGACTAAAGTACCCTTATAGGCCAAAAGTTCGCTAATCTAGAATAAAATACACACAGAGACAAATAATCACACACAAGCACAAAATAATTATAGCGAAAAACGGGTTGTTACACATATTATGTTGCCATATCGACCAACCAAAGGAACTCCATATGCACAGAAATCCATACCACACAAAAGTGTGGTCGTGCATCTTGTCATCACTCTGAGCGATGCAAAGTAGATAGAAATGATAATCCAGCGCCTCCTCGCGGTGGTGGTGGTGGTGTTAGGGGAGGAAAGATTTATTTCTCATCAACATCTCGAAGATATGCTTCCTCGACCACTAATCATATTTCATCCAAAGCAAGGTGAGACACTCTATCTCTATCTATCTTTATCCTCTAAGGCCGTTAGTGCCGTCCTAGTTAGGGAAACAGAAGAAGGGAATAGTCCTACGTATTTCACGCGTAAAGCCTTGAAAAGGTCGGAGATGAGGTACCAAAATATATAAATGGTCCCATTCCCACTCGTAATTGTGCGAACAGACCAACCCATTAGGAAAATTTTGTTTCGACCAGACATATTTAGAAGGACGATAAAGTGTTCACTCGAATTGTGAGGGTTCGACATCCATTTTGAATCTAGAAAAGGCTTGAAATTTTAAGTGGTTGAAAGTAAGAATATCTTATAAGTCTATTGATACATGGATTTAGGCAAGTGTACTAAATCGTTTACCAAGTAATAAAGTGACAAGTAATGTATCGTATCGACAGAGATTGTCAATTCAACCAAACAATTCACATTACTTATTTGGGAGCAATAAAATAAGAGATAAATGCTTAGAATATTGCAAAGTTAATCTGTTTGCAACAGAGTAAAGTAAAATAAGAGATAAATGTTTAGAATATTGCAAAGTTAATCTGTTTGCAACAGAGTAAAATTTACCTATTTTGATTGCAGAATGTTAGCGGCGGTTGGGATTATTCGAATCCCCTTTATTTAATTGTTGGACTTAAGCAACAGTCAACTGTTATTCATGTTATGAATCGTTATCTATCTAAGTGATAAGTTCGTGGGGTTTTACTACCTATTAGATGTCAAATTTCACCTTCTGATCATATGAGGTAGGTACGTGTGGGGCCTTACTCTCTCAGAGATATAGGCTCATTCCCCTCAAGTTGTTGAATTATACCTGCTGATCACACAGACGTGCATGTGGGGATCTTAATCTCTCAGAGGTAATTGAAACATAAACTTAAATTAGCTTTCCTAAATTCCGATTAGTGTAGTCCCAATGTTCTTAAGTCCACTCATCTATGAATATTAGAAGCACATATAACACTCTCCCCTCTTGGTAGTTCTACAAAGAGGAAGTCATGCCAACGTCTACCTTTCAAGGTGAAAGAAGAGTGAAGTTACTAGCCTGATTTAAGTCATGAAGTCAATTGTTTCCTTAATTACTAACTAGTTACTTCCTGATTCTGGAAGATATATGTTACCGTAAATCCGCAAGTGCACGGGTTTACCGTAGTAGTAATAAAGAGAGAGTATCGATCCACAGGGAGTTATTTAAATTCCAATCAAAAGTAGTAAAGGTTAGGGAGAAACCGATAATTAGGGTTTCAAGGTAATCTAAACGACGGTTGAAAACAATAGCTAAAGGCAACCTAGGGATTATTGGTTCATCCTATGGTTGACCTAACATCCTAATCCTAATCCTTGTTTATGTAAATCCTAGTTTCTAAGGACGAATCTCTCTAAAGCCTATCCCCTTCTTCGTTCGATATCCGGGGAGTGTGTCTCTCAAGGTGTTAGACCTATTCTCATGGCTAACTCCTATATTAAGATCCTTGATTGTACGAGATTCTATAAGTCCCAAGGTTCACTAGGCTATTCTCATGCTTCGCAATCCTTGTCTAAATTCACTTGTTCGGTTATTAAGACTTCTTCGTTCGATTCATCACCTTAATAACTAGGGTAACGAATTAACAAGTACTAACCCTCCGCGTTCGCATCCAAAGTTTGGTACTTGTTAATATCGTTGTGAAGAACGGTGAATTTAGATAAGAAAAGTAGGGTTACATAAACTAGGGTTTCAGATTAGGATTGTTGGATCAAGCCATAGGACTCTCCCAACAATCCCAAGGTCTAAGGGAATTACTCACTCATGGTTGGTGTTGCCATGAATGAATAAGAAGAAAACAATAAGAACAATTGAATAAAAACGAGAACTTTTATTGAGAAATAGTATTCTGTCACAATACAATATTCAGAATTCAAGATGATAAAACAAGGAGAACAAGCTCTCTATTTATAGCCTACTAATGACTTAAGCCCTAAGAAATAACTGAAGGAATATTCTCTGAAGATCCATGGGCTTTATCGTCAAAGCAGGCTGCGTAGAAAACCGCTGTTCGGAGCAAAAAGCAGCTAAAAGGGATGCTGGCAATCGCGCACGGCCGTGCGCCTTGCAGGCGTGGGCCGTGCGCCCTTCACTGACTTGGGGGAGCGAATTCTGATTTCTTCAAGTGCATATTTCGGTCCCAAATCTTGGAAATCTCCTATTTTTGTGCTCCAAATCCCTTTTCTTTAGCTCCAAGCCTTGCAAATCATATATTTGATCCTGAAATATAATATTGGATTCTTTGAAGTAAAAAGCTCTTAAATATAAATAAAAACACATAGAATCTAATTAAATCTAAATAGAATTAAACTAAATAACTTAATTAAAATACGTAATAAATCTACTTATCAAACGCCCCCACACTTGAATCTTTGCTTGTCCTCAAGCAAAAGGCATAGACATAGCAGCATAGAAAACATTTAAGTATATGACAAAATTAAAACACATGTTCCCTCCAAGGCCTTGTCCTAAGCATACACTAATCACAACCTCAAGAGCCCCTTATGATTCCTATTCAACCCAACAAGAGAAACTAAGTGAGTGTGTGTGTGTGTAGTGCATCCCCTTTGCTCCTGTATAAACAGGTATTATGAGGAAACAGGTTCTAACCCCAACAGTACATCAACCGAGAAAAACCTCATTTTCATTCCATATAAGCAAGGTGGGAATTAAGTTTAAGTTGGTTCAATTTTAAATTGTGGACCATATTTTTCTTTTCTTTTGGTCTCTTTTGGGGCTACAGATGCCTAGGGGATATCACCTTTTCATAGGAAGTCGGAGAGGGACTCACTCCTTCCTCCACTACTCCGGCAATCACCCTAAGTAGTGCTGTAGTTTGTAACTTCTTTCATAAATTATTTTTTTCTTTTTCTTTTCTTTCTATTTTTTTTTTCTTCAGAAGTTTGTAGAAGCTATACAATCACTAAGGAGGTACCATCCTTCGCGTAGGAGTTGTTCGAGTACACTATCCTTCCCTCCATGCTCCGGCGGTGTTCTCAACTTAGTGAAAAAGTGAAAATCATGCTTCCCCCCATATTATTTCAACGTTAAATAAATTTCCCCACACAAGCTTATACTACTTTTACTCCTAGAGACTTTAAAGGGTCCATGTACCATTAAACTTAGAACGTGGTCCTTAAAATACCTATTCATACACTTACTCAAAGGATGCACTGTGAATTTTCTCATTGGAGAAGTTTTGTTCACCTAGAATCAATGTGGGTCTATTGGAAAAACTTAAGGCAACAAGAAGCTATTTTCATGTACACAACAAGAACATTATCTAGCCTATATTGGAAGAGAACTTAACAAAAGATTATGTCATATTTAACAATTAAAACAAGTAAAACTATCTAGCCGCTTACATGCCTTTCACAATAAAACAAAACAAAAGATAAAAATTCAAGGGAGTTTGAAACACTACGACTCTTACTACCTAGACACGTTATTGGCTCCCCCCCACACTTGGGAGAAGCATTGTCCTCAATGCATAAAGAAAACAAGAAATTAAAAGGAAGAGAAGAGAAGAGAAAGGAAGAGGAAAGCTCACATTCTTAATTGTTGCCCGGAGGGGGACGGTTAAGGCCAAACCTTTGCATCATTTGAGTGACAAGGCGTTGGCTTTCTTCCGCCACTCTATTTCCATGTTGGATGTCAGCTCGCATTCCAATCATCTCATTGTGCATTTGATTTTGCTTTGTATGCACTTTTTGGAATTCGGCTTGCACCCGAGGTGCAAGTTAATGATGGTGGTGATGAGGAGGAAGCTCAACATGAGCAAGAGGCTTCAAATTGGGGACCGGCATGCAGCACCAGTTCCTCTTGCTCATGTTGTGCTTCCTCCTCATCACCACCATCATTAACTTGCACCTCGGGTACCTATCTTTTTGGTCGGAAGCCTTTGAGGTTAATGCCGTGGTATTTTGATGGCTTCTTTCTTCCTCCCGCGCCTCCGGTGGTGTCAATTTCCTTGCCCTTCCTTTTTCGGTCATTTTGACTTAGTTTGAAAAAAAATTGACTTTTGTGGATTTTAGGTTTGTGGGAAAAAGTGGGTTTTTGATGAAGGTTTTGTGTGGGAAGTGAAGGTTTGATGTTGGGTATGTGGTGGAAGTGAAGTTTTTGAGTAGTTTGTTGGGGTTTGGGTGAAAAATTGGTGGTTTTTGTGTGGGATAATGAAGGAATACGAAGATTGGGTGTTTTGGATTGAGTGGATGAAATTTGGTTTTGTTTGGATGTTTATGTTGGAAATTGGATTGGAATGGTTTGGGTAAAAGATTGGAGTGGATTGGTTGAGTTTTGATGGAGATATGTGAGGTTGAAGGGTTGAAGAAAAATGGAGGTTTAGAGAGAGAAGTGGATGAGGGAGGTTTTTGTGTGGTTTGAAAGAGGAAGAAGAAGAAAAATCATGTGAATATACACATAAGTGTCGCGCACCGGCCGTAGCGCCTTGCAGGCGTGGGCGTGCAGACCTTGCTATTCCCCGGGCAATTTTTTTCAAAAAAATGCGCACACGTACCCACGCGAAATGAGGCGTGGGGCAGTGCGCCTGTTTCTGGTCCTCTGAGTCAAAATTTTTCAAATTTTCTTTCACATATCGGACATGTACCTACAAAACAATTAAAAACAAAACAAAACAAGCAGAAATAAAGCGATAAAAAAAAATGCGTGGCTTGCCTCCCACGAAGCGCTCTTTTCACGTCATTAGCTTGCACGATTAGTGGTGATCCCTAAAATGGGTCAAAGAGATGATGGTAGCCAGGTGGTGGTGAAGAGCATTGCTTTCCACCATGATCTTCGGCTTCGAACAAGGAGTAGTCGGTGATTCCTCTATTGATGTTATACATTTCGAAACCTAATGAGCATGCCACTTATTTGGAACATAATGCATCCTTCTCTAACATTTAGGACTGCTCCCGCTGTGGCTAATAAAGGTCTTCCAAGTAGGATTGGGACTTGAGGGTCCTCAGGAATGTCAACAACCACAAAATCAGCGGGAACAAAACACCCATCTATTAAAAACGGGCATATCTTCCGCAATACCAACGGGACTGATAATAGTGCGATCTGCAAGCTTAAGGGTTATGTTCGTTGGCTTTAGGCTTCCTATTCCTATCCTCATAAAGAGGGACAAGGGTAACATGCTCACACTAGCTCCTAGATCGCATAAGGCTCTTTCCACATTTGTGTCTCCTATCATGATAGGGGATAGCAAAACTACCGGGGTCACCAAGCTTGGGTGGTCCTCCTAGAAGGGCATTACACTCTTAGGTCAAGGTTATTGTCTCATTGCCCACGGGGATTCTCTTTTTAGAGATGACGTCTTTAACAAACTTAGCATAGGGTGGGCATTTGGGACAAGACTTTTGGGACTTTGGTGTGTAGACCTTGTGTTAGCTCAACAAACTTCCTAAATTTGTCCTCTAGATTAGGCTTAACAAGCCTTTGAGGGAATGGGACTTTAGGAACATAGGGCTTTGTATCTACCGGACTTTCACTCTCTTCTAGGGATTCTCTGCCTTGCACAATTTCAACCTTTGGTTTTTCTAGCTCTTGGCCATTTTCTAGGGTAACAACATTGATGTGTGCTTTAGGATTGGCTTCGGGTTGTCCTGGAAAAATTCCAGGTGTTTGAAAGGTAGAAGAAACATGTTGGGCTACTTGGGAGATTTGGGTCTCCAATGATTTGTTGCTTATGGCAAGAGAGTCTACCTTAGAAGTTAGAGTGTCAAACGACTCTTTTAGAAGTCTAGTTTGCGACTTAAGCTCTTGGTTTTGTTTTTCTTGGTTTAGCACAAAATTTTCCAACATAAGCTCAAGATTAGATTTCTGAGCCACCCTTTGGTTGTTGCCATAGCCTGGTGGTGCTACTTGCTGCCCGAATTGATTTTTATTGTAAAAATTCTGCCCTTGCCTCATACCTTGGTATTGGGCATAGTTTATTTGTTCGGGAAACAAGAGAGCACTCCCTAGCTGGCATTCATCACTAGAGTGGCCAGTAATACCGCATACTTCACAGGAAGATATAGGAGGAGAAGGAGTAGAGGCACTTACATTGAGTTTATTTGAGTTTATGAGAGAGTGCTTCTACCTTAGCTGCCAAGTGATCATGAGGAGAGACCTCATACATACCGGCTTCCTTGTTTGACGGTGTTGTACCACCAATTGCCCTCTCGCTCGTCCACTGGTAGTGGTTTTGAGCCATGTCTTCTATCAGCGCATAAGCATCTGCATAATTCTTATTCATTAGTGCTCCTCCTGCTGCTGCATCAACAGTCAATTTAGTGTTATACAAAAGACCATTGTAAAAAGTATGAATTATGAGCCATTGCTCAAGACCGTGATGGGGGCAAACTCTTAGCATCTCCTTAAAACGCTCCCAAGCGTCATACAAAGACTCCCCAATTGCTTGATTGAACCTAGTAATCTGGTCCCTATACTTGGCAGTTTTTGGAGGGTGGAAAGAATCTAGCAAGGAAGACTTGCCTGATTTGGTCCCATGACGTAATGGAACCTTTTTCTAAGGAGTGGAACCAAGCACTAGCTCTATCTCGAAGGGAGAAAGGGAAAAGATGTAGCCTAAACGGCTTCTTGGTTGGCTTTAATGGTTCCACTAAGCCTAAGAAAGGTAGAGATGTGAAGATTGGGATCCTCAGCGGGGGATCCCAAGAATTGATTTTGCTGCACAAGATGGAGAAGTGCAGGCTTGATTTCGAAATTGTTTCCTTCTACATCCGGATACACAATAACCGCTGCCGGCTCCTCCGTTGACGGAGTCGCATACTCTTTGAGAGTACGTGCGTCTGCCATGGCTTGGTTTTTTCGTGCTTCTCTTTTTCGCCTATGGAGGTACTGTTCTATCTCGGGGATTAATCCGGAGGAATATGGCTCCCAAGACTTCTAGTTCTACGCATAAGCGGAAAAGAAATCCAAAAAGAAGAAGAAGAAGAAATCGATTGAGAAGGGGAAAGTGTAAAAACAGAAATAAAACCTAACCGTCACCAAAGTTGATCGGAATTTGGTCAACTCCCCGGCAACGGGCGCCAAAAACTTGTTACCGTAAATCCGCAAGTGCACGGGTTTACCGTAGTAGTAATAAAGAGAGAGTATCGATCCACAGGGAGTTATTTAAATTCCAATCAAAAGTAGTAAAGGTTAGGGAGAAACCGATAATTAGGGTTTCAAGGTAATCTAAACGACGGTTGAAAACAATAGCTAAAGGCAACCTAGGGATTATTGGTTCATCCTATGGTTGACCTAACATCCTAATCCTAATCCTTGTTTATGTAAATCCTAGTTTCTAAGGACGAATCTCTCTAAAGCCTATCCCCTTCTTCGTTCGATATCCGGGGAGTGTGTCTCTCAAGGTGTTAGACCTATTCTCATGGCTAACTCCTATATTAAAATCCTTGATCGTACGAGATTCTATAAGTCCCAAGGTTCACTAGGTTATTCTCATGCTTCGCAATCCTTGTCTAAATTCACTTGTTCGGTTATTAAGACTTCTTCGTTCGAATTCATCACCTTAATAACTAGGGTAACGAATTAACAAGTACTAACCCTCCGCGTTCGCATCCAAAGTTTGGTACTTGGTTAATATCGTTGTGAAGAACGGTGAATTTAGATAAGAAAAGTAGGGTTACATAAACTAGGGTTTCGGATTAGGATTGTTGGATCAAGCCATATGACTCTCCCAACAATCCCAAGGTCTAAGGGAATTACTCACTCATGTTGGTGTTGCCATGAATGAATAAGAAGAAAACAATAAGAACTATTGAATAAAAACGAGAACTTTTATTGAGAAATAGTATTCTGTCACAATACAATATTCAGAATACAAGATGATAAAACAAGGAGAACAAGCTCTCTATTTATAGCCTACTAATGACTTAAGCCCTAAGAAATAACTGAAGGAATATTCTCTGAAGATCCATGGGCTTTATCGTCAAAGCAGGCTGCGTAGAAAACCGCTGTTCGGAGCAAAAAGCAGCTAAAAGGGATGCTGGCAATCGCGCACGGCCGTGCGCCTTGCAGGCGTGGGCCGTGCGCCCTTCACTGACTTGGGGGAGCGAATTCTGATTTCTTCAAGTGCATATTTCGGTCCCAAATCTTGGAAATCTCCTATTTTTGTGCTCCAAATCCCTTTTCTTTAGCTCCAAGCCTTGCAAATCATATATTTGATCCTGAAATATAATATTGGATTCTTTGAAGTAAAAAGCTCTTAAATATAAATAAAAACACATAGAATCTAATTAAATCTAAATAGAATTAAACTAAATAACTTAATTAAAATACGTAATAAATCTACTTATCAATATACCGTCAATATTAGGTATGTCACCTCCCTAAGTACCTTTCTCTCAGGGTTTTGCTCTTTTCGGCATGTCTCCCTAGTTACAAATTTATTACTTCATGATTAGACAGATATACATTAATATTAGGTAATATCACCTCCCTTAGTGCCTAAGTCAGGGTTATGCTTCAGAGGAGAGAAATCTTACACACGATTGTAAAAGTAAATAGCATAAAGAGAAATAACTAAATAAAGACTTTAAATTAAATAAATTATACAACAACCGGAATAAAGGTTAATCTTAGAACCCTAGGCTAAGATGATTTAGTTACAAACGATAACTAAAGACAAATTATCAAAGAAATAAAACATACCCTAGAAATACTTGGATTGAGGAGATAAACTCCTCCTTGAAGCTCCTAGTGCTTGCCTTCCTCTTGAACCGCTTCGTCATGAATGAAAATTAATGAATGAAGAATGCGATATTTATAGGAAAAGTTTCGACCTGAAAATAGGCTAAAATACCGGGCTTTTTCCACAAAAAGTCACAAAACAGCGCCTTGGCCTGCAAGGAACAGGCGTTGGGCGCCTAGAACCATGTGCCAGGTGCATGTGTGCAGAGTTTCAGGTGGCAGACACCTAGAAGCATGCATCAGAAGCCTCATCATATGCCTAGGAGTACAAAAATGTGTGTCAGGCACATGTGAGTGTTTGTCTGGGCTCTGAAACGCCAATTTCTTTGTCTTATTAGGTGTTTGCTTCCATATAAGATGTCTTGGAACTTGGGAACATAATTCCTCCCTTTGTAACATCTTCTGAGGCCCCTTGAATATTCATTCTTTCATCTTCCCAAGGTCTTCACGAATCTTCATATGTCTTGCTTTACCGATTTGCATGATTTCTTTGTGAATTACATCAAAACACCCTAACATTGCTATGCTTCAGAAAGAATATAATCACACACTCAAATATAGAAAAACATTACAAATGTCCCAAAATCATAAGCAAATTCTCTAATACTCTTCTATTATGGATGTAAAACTTACTGAAAATGATTGACAAACTTGCTAAGAATAACGTAAGAAAGTGGTAAGCTCCTAAGAACTATGGGATGTGGTCATCAGTCTACATGACCCCATGAGATGTGGTCATCAGTCTACATACATCATAGTCTTTACGCTTTATTATTATCCCGATTTATATTAAAGCTTAACTACAAATACTTTTAAGAATATCGTCCTTTCTGTAAAAGTAATCTCATGATTAAGTCACACTTAATATTCCATCACATGAACTATCTATTCTAGGGACTTTATTAATCTTACAACAATCAAAAATAAAGAATGTCATATTTTATTTAATAATAAAAGTTATGATACATAGCATAAGTTTAACATAAACTATTGGCCTCTAGGGCTTACACCGACACATGACAAAATACATCATAACAAAACCATAGAAAAACATACTCTAGAGAGAACAAGAGAAGGAATAAATTCTGCCAAAGCTCTGATGCATGACACTTGTCTTGAACCGTCAGTCTTCTGAATGAATAATATTGAGTGCAAGAGTCTCTATTTTATCAAATGATTACTTAGGGTTTAACAGAAGAAAATTGGGCTTTTTGCACCGAACCAGCTTGGAAACACAAACTGCAGGCAATTTCCTGCAACTATGCGCGAATAGCGCCTATAGGGGCGCAACTAGCGCCTGAGGCAGTAGCAACACTGCCTCGTGCACAAATGGTGCATGGCCAGGTGCAAATGGCGCCCGAGGCAGCAATTGCGGTGCGAAATCTTCTATTTTTCTCCCGTTTTTCGATCGTTCTTCCGTCTGGAAACTCCTAGGAACATGAAATGAATTTTCTTCACTTTGTTTTTTCTTAAAAAACCTTCTAAGAACCATTGAATTCAATCTTCACATCCTTGATCCTTCACACGATGTCTTGATGGTTTCTCACTACAAAACACCTATGGAGTTGCATGATCTAGGATAAAAGTGAATTACAACAACTCGAGTGAAAACAATACAATATGTTCATCAGACCATTGACAACTCTTTTATCTCTCAACTTATTTGTCTACAAGTGCAAAGAAAAGTACTAAAAATATAGCCAAACATGTCATATGATGCTTTGTCATCAACCACCACACCTCCGGGGGTATCAAATAGTCACATCATTGTCGAGCAACCTTAACGAGCGTAAGGGTATACCTATTCGAGCGTTTGTTAACAATTTTATAATTAGCAGGACCATTTTTTTAAAAGCGGAGATTTCTTGCGAGCATTCCAAATGACTCAGCTCCCCGCAAACCAAAACCTTTTTCACAATCGCTAGCTCCTCGCGAGCATATTGAGGCTATCGGTACCATACAAACATAGTCCCTGAGACTATCAACGTCTATATGATTTCAAGTGTCGTACAAGCAGTACGGTTGGTTCTTTTCCGCCCCTTTTCATTAGTATATGGTTCGACCTGACACAAACTATTTTGCTCGAAGTCATCACTCTTATTTGAGAGTAACAATTTGGGGGGCTATTGTTTTGGACCGAGCAAATGGCTAGGCCCATTTCCAATACAAGCCCAATAAAACATGCCTAACATATTATTGGGTCATCTGCTCATAGCACCTAGGAAGACCAATTCAAATCGAATGGCAACGTCTCCCCCCTCACGTGCCGCGAATCTCGCTCGGTGGTTACAATTTTTTCAATTGCCATTGTGTGCCTACAACGGTGCTTGCAAGTCACACACACACACACACACACACACACACACACACACACACACACACACACACACACACACACACACACACACACACTATATAATGGGACTTTATGTAGTCCCCATCAGTACGATTCTATTCAACCCTAAATCCCCTATCTGCGCTCTTATTTACCGGAGCGCCAGACTGTCTGCATGCACACACCACCCACTGTTTCAGAGGTCCCCAAACGCCCAAAACAACTACACCATACGTCATCCTTCTGATCAGATACTATATATATATATATTAGAATTAAATTATGTGTTTGACAAGATAATTATGCCAAAGTCGAAGGACTTAAATTTGAAGAACAAATTTGAGAAATCATCTTAATTTATTTGATGATTTTTTTTAATCTTTTATAAGTGTTATGGTCTATTGTATAGGCGAGTCATCTTGTTAATACAAAGTGAAAAACTTTATGCAGACTGAGACATACAACCGAGTCATCTTATTCAATACAAATTTTACATGCGGTTCGACAAGTGTTAAATCGATCAATGACTTATCGACCCACTACTTTAACCAGGTCGATGACTGATCTGATTTTTAAAATAACGATCTTTATATATAAATATTCAAAATATGTACTCCCTCTGGTCTTATAATTCTAGGGATGGTAAAATGGGTTTGACCCGCCGAGTTGATCCGCTTAACCCCTGCCTTTTTAGCGGGACGGGTTGTGATTTTGAACCCGCCATAAGTAAGGTGCCTCGCTCCGTCCCTTTTTAGAAGGATTATTGACGGTGCGGAGTGAGTTGACCCTTTTTGCCATCCTAATATAATACGAAGAAAAACAAAATCAAGACCATGTTGCATATGTTTGAATGTTTTCACAAATATACTTTCATAGAAATTTTTGAAGTAGTGAATATACTCACTAATATTAAAAAGACAAACATTAAATAAAAATTAAAAAATCTTTTACGCAATAATAAACTTTAAAAGTTTTGTTTTTAATATATTAAATACACGAGAAAAACTTAACAAGAATCAACAACAAAAGAGCGATGAGAGATCAGGAGCGACTGAGAGACGGTTGCACTAGGGTTAGCTCCGGGCAACCCACGTTGGAGCTTTTCTCCGGCAGAGAGACATCATGGGGGGTGTGGGGTCCAGCCAGGGTGGCAGATATTGGGGGGGATAGGGGAGATTGGCTTGCAGTGAGGTCTAGGAAGCGGAAAGCGACGGAACTGGAACACAGACGACGGGACAGGTCAAGAGGATCAGAGCGTCATCGAGGAACGATGGTGGGTTACAGGCAGGATCGGCTTCAGGCTTCTAGAAGAGGTTTCATGGGAAAGCGACGCGATAGGCATGTGGCAGATGGCTTTGGATTGGATTACGGCGACAGTTTCTCCAACAAAGTGGGAGGTCGTATAGCATCGTCAGAATGGCATGGTGCGGTGTTATCTGACTCTAATCAAGATTACAAAGTTTCTTTTTATGTTTACTAATTTCCCGGATAATTTGCCTTTATTTCGTTTACGACAAGCTTTTTGAGGTATGCGGTATGTTATCTGACCTGCTTGTTGCTCGACATAGGAATGCTAGAGGTCAGGAATTTGGGTTTGTACGTTATGTTAATGTTAGGAATAAGAACAAACTCTCTCAAGCTTTAAATAATGTATGGATTGGGGAGTGTCGAGTTGGGCTCGCGAGGCTCGGTATGACAGGTTTGCTCATAATGATTCTGTCAGTGCTACACCGAAAGATGCAGGGAGGTTAGAGAGGGTGGATGTTAGGCCGGTATAGATGCTGAAGGGTGAGGGAGTAATCCAATAGAAGGTGGGGATGTATTCACATAACGGGACTGAGAAGAAGGTTGAGGGAGGAAATATGTTGCGTATTGGGCAAGTGCTGGTGTCAGTTGGTGGTACGGGGAAGAAAAGTAAGGTGAGGAAGGTGGTTGAGGGAGATGGAGGCGTGTTACAGGATCAGTGTGAGGATGGTAAAGGGTCTGATGGGAATAAGCAAGCGGTGATGGGAGTTGGCAGTAAAACGGTGGAGCAGCAGAAACATGTGCAGGAAACTGTGTGTGTGCCGACAACAAAAAGGGTTTCTATTCCTTCAAAAAAAATCTGCAAGTTTTTCTAATGGTAAGGCCCCTTTTAAATTCATTCCGGTGTACAAATCCTGTGTCAACGATAGAAATTGGGCGAGGTCTGGAATGATTGCAAGGGTGATTGCGGGGGATTCAGCTTTGGATTTACAACAACGTGTCGAGGATGCCGGCTTTCCTAATGTTGTAGTTACTCCTATGGGAGGTGATAGGGTGTTTCTTAATTGTTCTGGTGATGAAGATATTTGGCAAGTGTTTAATGGGGCCCTTCATTTTTTTGCTATGTTGTTCTCTAATATTCATAAGTGGTCGGAGGCGGAGGTTCGATATGAACGCGGTGCATGGTTGCGAGTCTATGGTATTCCCGTTCATGCTTGGAACGAGTCTTTCTTTCGATTGTGTGCTCCAGAGAATGGTAGATTCATTCGTGCAGACGAATGCACAATTGACAAGGCACGCTTAGATTTTGCACGTATTCTTGTTTCCACGTCACAATTAGAGATTTTGAATACGTCTTCTGAAGTTGTCATTGACGGGAGGAAATATATTATTAAATTGGTGGAGGAATGGGGATGTCATTTGGGCGAGGATGCATTTATGACGGAGGTTGATTCGGTTTCCACACCGGAAGCGGTATTTCAACCAAATGTCGAGGAAGGTTTGGGAAGAGGTTCAAGGGGAGTGGGAGTTGGATGATTTAGTTAACGACTTGCAGAATGAATGGAGTCAACATGAATGTAAAAAGGCAACATCTTTCAATTCTCATCATTCTTTGTTGAAGGTTAATAAAGGGTAAGGAACTTAATTCGGAGTTTTTTGAGGTGAACCTTTCACCGGTTCTTCAACCATTGTCGAAGATGAAAAATGATGTTGAAATGTGCAGCGGAAACATCAACTTGAATCCATCAGATGGGGAGAAGGTTGTAGTTCATTCGGGGCCTTGGAGCACAGATTGGATCTCGAAACAAAAAGCCTATTTCCGAAGGTGGTGTTGTTTTTTCTTCCAATTGTGATGGTAACAATTCTGATGGTTTGAAGAAGGCTACTAGAAACTCCATGCAAGATACGCCATCAAAGAAAAAGAAGGTTGGAATGGTGAAAAAATCTGTAGGCTTTATGAAGAAGATTTCTCGGATGCCGGCAAAGGATCGTAAACAGATTTTGAAGATTTTGAAAAAACATAAGCGGGTGAAGAAAATTGGTGCGGTGAATACATCTTCAAGTGCAGCAATGAATTCCAATTTGGATGCTTCATTAAAATCAACTTCATCCGTTAAAAATGATTGGGAGAATTGGGTGTATTAAAAGGGGAACCTAAGTTGGTGGCGGAGGATGTGAAGGAATTAGGGAAGGTAGTGGGTGTGAAGTATCATTATGACACTAAGAATAGTTTTAATTTGCTTTCGAAGGAGGGGAGGAGAGAGTGGAGGGCGGCTGGAGGTAGCGAGGTGGAGTGTGATGTCGTGGTGGGGAGGAAGGTTGTGTAGGGTGGGTGGTGAAGGAGGGGGGGCAGTGTGAAGGGGGTGGGAGGTTTTAATGAAGATTCTTTCGTATAATGCGAGGGGTTTAGGTGGTGGTGAGAAGAGGATGGAGGTTCGGAGGTTGGTTATTGAGAAGAATCCTTCGGTGTTGTGTATACAAGAAACTAAGTTGCACTTGATGAATGACTTGACCATCAAATCAATTTGGGGTAATAATCCGCATGGCTATTCCTATCAACCTTCGGTTGGGGCTTCTGGTGGTTTGGTTACGGTGTGGGACGCTTCCCGGTTGGATGTATGGTATTCTATGAGTTTTGGGCATGTGTTGATTATCAAAGGAAAGGTTGTCGATTCAGGTGACGAGTTTATTATTTTTAATGTGTATGCACCGTGTAACTTGGCAGATAAAAAGGTCTTATGGGAGCGGTTGAAACCTCTTGTTTTTAACAACAATGACATTTGTTTGTGTGTTTGCGGGGATTTTAATTCAGTTCGCAATGTTGATGAACGGAAAGGAAGAGGTGTGGTTTTCAGACAGGTGGATGCGGATTTATTTAATAATTTCATTGATGACTGTATGCTTATTGATTTACCCATTTGTGGTCGGTTATTTACGTGGTTTCGGGGTGATGGAGTTTCTATGAGTAGACTGGACAGGTTCTTGTTGTCTTATAAGTGGTGTGAGAAGTGGCCAAATTGTATTCAGGTGGCTTATCAACGTGGGCTATATGATCATGTTCCGTTGTTATTACATGTCGATGAGGCTAATTGGGGGCCCCGCCCGCTTCGTATGCTTAAATGTTGTCAGACTTACCGGGTTATTCAGATTTTGTCCGAGCTAAATGGGGGTACTTACAATTGTGAGGGATGGTCCGGTTTTGTTCTAAAGCAGAAGCTTAAGTGGATGAAATTCAGTTTAAAAGAGTGGCATCAACAACATTTTCAGAATATGGATGGTCGGATGTTGGATGTTAAAAATAAAATTTCAAATCTGGATGCTAAAGCAGAGATGTCAATGTTGGTGGACGAGGAGATGGAGGAGCTTCATGAGTTATCTGTTAACTTGCATTCTTTGGCTCGGTTACAGAATAGTATGCATTGGCAACAATCAAGAATGAAGTGGCTTCAGGAAGGGGATGCAAATACAAAGTTTTTTCATGGTTGTATGTCTATGCATCAGCGCCAAAATGCTATAAATATGGTGTCAGTTGATGGTGTCAGTGTGGAAGGAGTTCATAATGTTCGATCCGCTGTCTTCAGACATTTTTCTAATCATTTTAAGTCGCTTGGTGTTCAACGGCCGGGGATGAAGGGCCTCCATTTTCGAAAGATATCTTGGGTAGAGGTAGGGAATTTAACAAAGCCCTTTAGTCGTGAGGAAGTTAAACATGCAGTTTGGGATTGCGATAGCTATAAGAGCTGTTGAAGACAAAGGTGTCTTCGTCAAGGTCCCACAGAGGAATTTCCTATTCAGAGGGGTCTTCGTCAAGGTGACCCTTTGTCTCCGTTCTTGTTCATTTTGGCTGCTGAAGGGTTTAATGTCCTTATGAATGCTGTGGTGGAGGCAGATTTGTTTAGGGGGTACGGTGTTGGGCAGCTTGGTGAGGTGCGACTGACACATCTACAATTTGCGGATGATACTATCATTATTGGTGAAAAGAGTTGGCAGAATGTGCGTACCATGAGAGCAGTGTTGCTTCTCTTTGAAGAGATTTCGGGCCTGAAAGTTAACTTCAACAAAAGCATGCTGTCGGGTGTAAATATATCTGAATCTTGGCTGTCAGAGGCGGCTTTGGTGATGAATTGTCGGCGGGGTTCTATTCCTTTTGTTTATCTGGGCTTGCCTATCGGTGGTGATTCTAGGAAACTTTCTTTTTGGAAACCTGTTGTTGATCGCATAGTCTCACGTCTGTCGTCGTGGAACCACAAGTTCCTCTCCTTTGGTGGTCGTCTGGTTCTTCTGAAATCTGTCCTGTCGTCCCTTCCAGTTTACTTTCTTTCCTTTTTCAAAGCCCCTGCAGGTATAATTTCTTCTATTGAATCTATTTTTAAAATTTTTTTTTGGGGGGGGTGGTGAGGATAATAGGAAAATAAATTGGATTAATTGGGAGTCTATTTGTACTCCAAAGGAGGATGGAGGATTGGGGGTAAGGAGGGTGGGAGCTTTTAATATATCTTTGTTGGGGAAATGGTGTTGGAGGATGTTGGTAGATAAGGAGGGGTTATGGTATCGGGTCTTGAAAGCCCGCTACGGAGAGGAGGGGGGGCGGTTGAGGGAGGGAGGTAGTCATTGTTCTACTTGGTGGCGGTCGGTGTGTAGGATTCGTGAGGGAGTGGGAGAGGGTGTTGGGAGGTGGTTTGATAATAATATTCGTCGTGTTGTGGGAGATGGTAATGATACTTTATTTTGGCATGACATATGGGTGGGGGAAATGCCATTGAAAATTAAATTTCCCCGCTTATATGACCTATCGGTGAACAAGGAGAGTTCGGTGGCGGAAGCGATGAGGGAGTTTGGTGCGGATGGGGGAGGGGAGAGGGTATGGCGCCGTCGGTTGTTTGCGTGGGAGGAGGAGAGTGTGAGGGAGTGTTCTGTTTTACTTTCCAACACTGTTTTGCAGGATAATATCCATGATGTTTGGCGATGGTTGTTAGATCCTATTCAGGGATATTCGGTGAAGGGAGCATATCGCTTTCTTACAACGTCCGGTGACACTTTGGATAGGACTTTGGTTGATGATGTGTGGCACAAACTCATTCCGTCAAAGGTGTCTCTATTTGTGTGGCGGCTTCTCCGCAATAGACTTCCTACAAAGGACAATTTGGTGCGCCGACATGTCATTCTTCCTTCAGATACGGCTTGCATCTCTGGCTGTGGAGGTCTGGAAACGGCAACACATTTGTTTCTATCTTGTGACATTTTTAGCTCTCTTTGGTCACATGTTTGGAGGTGGTTACATATTTCTTCGGTTTCTCCAGGTGATATTAGACAACATTTTCTTCAATTCACTTCTATGGCGGGGTTGCCTAGATTCACTTATATCTATATGAAAATTATTTGGTTTGCCTCAGTTTGGGTGCTTTGGAAGGAAAGGAACAACCGGGTTTTTCAAAACACGATTTCTAATCCTTATGCCCTTGTCGAACAGGTTAAACTTCATTCCTTCTTGTGGGTGAAATCAAAACAGGTTTCCTTTAGCTATAGTTATCATGATTGGTGGCAACACCCTTTACTGTGTATGGGTGTTCATTTGTAATTCGTTTTGTTTAGGTGGTGATCCCGTGATTTGGGCACCTTGATCTTGTATATACTCTTGGGTGGTTTGTCCCTTGCACACCTTGTGCAGGATGAATCATTGTTGTTAATATTATATCCCATTTTAGTTTGTTCAAAAAAAATATTAAATACACGAGGGAGTATATTCTATGATTTTTTTTTTGTTTTGTTTTGAAATGTGTATGATTATTCTATTATAATTAATAATTGCGATGAAGGGAGGGTTATATATATAGGGTTATG